AAAGCACAAGTACTGTACCTTGCTTTCCCCATCTGAAGACATCTATGGATATGCCTGTTAAACTGGTTAACTTTCTGGTAAAACACATCATTGTCTGTAGCAGGGAGGAAAGAGATCAAAATTAGCTCACAAAAACTGTACACATACTTAATGGACAGTCCCTTGATATCATTTCTGAAGTGGTTTTTGGAGTTTCAAATGCCAAATGATATGATACGAGATGAGATCATTACATGGCAACCAATAAAATGATGTCACTTTGGTCAATTTTACATGACTGATATCAATTATCATCAATTGACAAATGCTTTAGGTCACTTTAAGTGATCAATTGATATCAAATGATACATTACATACAAATCTGTAAATTGATTTAATATACTTGTATTTGAAATGCAAAGAAATATAAAATCAAATACTCGTAAAATGGCCCTTATAATTCCTGTACTAGATAGTTCCCTGTCACGATTGACAGAGCACTATGTAGTTAACAGTCCAATCTTTCATCCTAGTTGGGTTGAAAAGAACCCACTTGTTAATGTTATCATAACATGAGAAAAATAGTGAAATGTATTTATCCTCCCCTTTTCACTAGTTAATAATTAATAACATTAATAAATAGTATAAGAATTTATTAATTATACTATTTATATTAATATTAATAACAACATAACAATAAAAATAATCATATATAATAAATAATACAATGTGTTATGAAGTAACTCCATCTGTAGAGAAAGACAACTAAAAACTCCACAAGCACACAAATAAACAGATTTTGATTTTTACATTAATAATTACATGCAATAAAATATTTTGCATGTAATTAATATCCTGCAAAATATATTATTAATATTTGCTTCTTGTAAGAAACAAAAACATAAATTAAAATATTTCAAATAACCTTAACCCTCAATCAAGACAGCTCATTAACTTAAATGAGTTTAATTTTTTAATACAATAATTGTCACTTATAGTTTAATAATAATAAATATGACTTTATCTACTTAGATTCAAAAAACAGTATATCAATATTAATTATCAAGTTTACCATACAAATTAATAGCGTGATAACGAGTAAAACATTGTTATAATCTTTGAATCTTGACACGTTATCAATGTATGTTTCTGTTACTGCTTGTTACAGAAGCAACTGCAGGGAGTTCAAATATCAGCTGTTGTAGAAGTTTACAATCATTATTGGCCGAAGCTGACCTAAAGAGGGTCGAGAACGTATCCAATTAAGTAAGAAGATCAACAGGATCGGTTTCCAAAACAAGCAGTAACAGAAATATATTCTTCAATAATAATAAATTCAAATAAAAATTGTAAATTTAAGTAATTTTTGAATATAAACAAATGTTTAAACTAATATCAATAACAATTTTTGCAATTTAAAATGCATTAAGAACAGAAATAATTAATTTAAAATGAACAGTAAAACAGTGACAAATAAATACACTATTATAGTTACTATTATTATTATTATTACTACAATTATTTACTAGCATTTACACTTCAGCTCTTTCACAAGATATATTGATGTTTCATTGCAGTCATTAAGTAAATAAATGAATATTGTTCTATATACAGCAAAATATCATTGTGTGATAATTGTTAATGGATGCTTACAAGTGAAACAGTTATTAATCATTATTAAGGTGATTATATGTCAAAATTACGAAACATGATTGTTGAATATTTTATCAATTAAATTAGGAAAGGACTTTGTGTTTAGTTTTAGATTATCTTAATATTTTAATATTATTATTATTTGGGGACGTCCATTAGCTGCATTTACAGTTTAAGCATACTTGCCAACCATCAGTGTTTTGTATGTTCCATCAGTGGATAGGCCGCTTTTGTCAGCATCTTTAATGAATTTGATATTACAATAATTCATGTGACATTATCACATAAACACTTCATTTAACAAGTCTAATACCAATATATAAGTATATGCTGACGATATTGTATGTATTTTATTACAAACGACTGAATGAACCAGAACAATGTTCTCAGATCATTCACTTGGGAAAGAACCAAGATTGATATTCTTATATATGTATGTTAATATAGGTATGAGAATTTTAGCTGAAATATGATAATTTTAAATGGCAGATAGGTTAAATTATATCTTCAAGTCTGGCACTAATGTTGCCAGACTTGAACACAGTTGATTGTTAAGGGGAAAATCAATTACGGCCAACTCATCATTGTAAGGAAATGAGTTACTTTTACAGTTAGACCATATTATTGAGCAGCCCACAGTTTCTCTGCCCAAAAAGAAGATACAAATTGACCCCCCTATAACACTGTTGATAATTGTTTTATATGAATTCCATGTTGTATGAGTCACTTAGATTTTACAATTACGTGAGCCATTCACAGCTCGGCACAGGTATTTGTAAAATCTAAGTGACTCGTACAACATGGAATTCATATAAAATGGAATTATCAACAGTGTTATAGGGGGAGGAAAAAGATATTTTGTACGATAAGATATAGTAAGACAGAAAATAAATTGTTCTTAATAATTGCAATGAAAGCCAATAAACTGATTGATTGCAACTGTCATTAGTATACTGTAACACTAACAATTCACCATAACATAAGGAGGCACTCATCATGCAAGAATATCAAGACTCTTAACAGATGAAGATGAAACAAATCATAAATCTACACCTACATTTATGATATGGACCTTAAAATACGTTTTTTTTTTTCTTTGTCATGTGTAGCATACGAATTTGTTCTTATATGTCTACTCACCTAGCCATGTGAATGAACTATAAGAAAATATTTTTAAAGTCTTTTATTTTCAATGTCGGGTTTATGAACTGTTGTACGTGCAAACGAGGGGGGAGGAGATTTGCCAGAAACACATCATTTGCATATTTACGCAGAAAATTTAGTTAAATTTACTAAAATATTATATATAGAAATAAACTGCAGTCTAAAATTTTCGTCAGATGGAACGTGAATTACTGTACATGTAATTAAAGGGTTTGCCGAAATTACATTGTGGGAGAAAGGAGGTCAAAAACTGTACACGTAACTGACGGCCCCTAAACTCTAAACAATATGCACGCAGTTAATATTATAAATTAACCGACCCCTTTAAAATGTATCCCAAATAACTGCATTAAAGATTAAGTATGGCAGTGTGGATGATTTTATTATCTTTCACAGAACCAACTAATCAGTTTTACGATAATGAATCCCGCAATCTATCAGCGGTTCGATATCATTCATTGTAATTATATCTCCCATAGGACTTAAACTATTCTAGACTATCGATAGTAAAACTTTCGTTTTTCCATTTCCCATTTAATCTTCACCCAATTTATTTTCTTACGCGCAGTCGACCCCCCCCAAATAACACTGTTGATAATTCCGTTTTATATGAATTCCATGTTGTACGAATCACTTAGATTTTACAAATACGTGTGCCGGGTTATGAACGGCTCACGTATTTGTAAAATCTAAGTGATTCGTACAACATGGAATTCATATAAAACGGAATTATCAACAGTGTTATAGGGGGGTCGACTGTATTCTGTTACATTCTAAATTATTCAGACGATTTAATTACACTAAAATCAATTAAAATCGAAAATTTTTTTTTTATGAAATAACACAAAAAATACCCTTAAAATAAATAATTCTTTTTTCCCGTTTAAATTATATTTCCTTTCTTAAAAAAAAATACAAGTATATCTGCGGTTTTTCGTGTAAACACAGTGTAATTCAGTTACGGCGACATGCTCCTCTTCTAACTTGTATGGTAAATATCGAGTAAATAATACGAAATCAGCTCTGAGCAATACTTTGTGAATGATTTTTATTAACCTCTCTCACTCTCTAAACATATAAATAGATTCTTCGTGGCCATTTTCTATTATCTAGAAAGGAAACTATTTGGGTTATTATTGTAATTACGGAGCACTAAATACTTTTAGTCGCTGTCAAAAGTAATAATTTCATCAACGTTCTGACAATGTGGGCGTTCTGATGAAGAACGTCGTCTGCATTATTATTTTTTCTAGTTTCTCGGCAACTCTACAATGTCAAAAACACGAGTGAATGAAGATTCGCGCTGCTCGAAAGGCGATCCTGTTGAGGTTCTATTACATTAAAACACTAAAAAAACGTTCAATAATTAGCCGTGTTTGAATCGTCATTCGGTCATCTCGGTTTTTTTTTCCATTGAGGACTCCTCTAATGCAGAAAATCGATCGAATCTCTCTGTAATCTATACATCACAGGGAAGGCTTATCCCAGAACATGCTACACTTCAGTTTCCTTTTTTTCCCCCCCTCCATCTCGAGCAATAATAGTTGCATTGCCTTCTCTTATCGGTGATGATGCAGAAGAGTACTCTTCTGTCTTTTTATCCCGTAGATTAATATTAACACAACTGCCTCCATCGATCGAAGTCGCTAAACTGAAAGAAATTCAATCATAAAGTAATTTCCAACCCCTGTTTGGACCCGTAAATCAATTTTTATATTCTGCATCATTTGATTTATCGGGTTGACTTGACATTAAAATAAAATGAACGATAAATCAGTGGCTTTTTTTCTCCTTCTTTCTTTCTTCCTTCTGCCACCTCTCGAGAGCGGAGATGAGTTTTATGATAGAAGATTTTTTTTTTGAAATCGTGATCCAAAATAGTTAACTCCCACGTTTAACAGGTTGTAAACACAAGTTTCCATTAAGAATTATTGAATTCCGAGGGAGATATTATAATAAAGACACCGTGAAGAACGTTTAATGGAATGTACACAATGATAATTTGCATACTGGATCATAAAGATTGAGGCCGAGTACTTCAAAAAACAGTGGCGCGTTATAGCATCACGGGACCCAAGCGAATTTGAACTATGGTGCCGCATATACAGTGTTTATTTCAGACATTTTTCTTCGAGAAAAAATTTGTTTGGGACCTTGTATTGGTGGATCCCCAGGCAATATTTGCCCATAGGATAACGCGCTACCGTCGAAGGAACATATTTTGTTCCGGTATAGAAGTGAAAGACATACGCTCTTACCAGTAAACACGCTGGGTATCTTCGACATGAAGCTCTTGACAGTTTTGACAGGAACACCAGTTTGTTCGTCCTGCATTTTTTCCACCATCTGTTCCATCTGCCAAAGTAAATTACAAGTTACATATTCGAAATTTAAAATATATTAATATATATATATATATATACACATTTAAAAAAAAAAAAACAATACAGACAGTCTTCCTCTTCACCATTGTATTGCTGAAACAGACAGCTAAGATAGATAATCGATAGAAGCGAATGGAATTCGTCATATGCTAACTTAGGAACTAATATAAACCGATCATTGTGAAGATAATCACGACATCTCACACGCTGTCATTCACTCTGGCCCATCAGAATAGGGGAAGAACGACAGTGATAGAGAGGAGCTATATTCTTAGATGTAATTGCTATTCTTGATTTATGAGGTTTAGTATTCATACATGAAAGATTCCTTCGAGAAAAGCTCTATCTTTTACATAAAATACAAAGTTAAATGTGGGAGAAACCAAAATAACTATTTAAAAAAAAAAAAAATAGAAGAGGAGGAAGAAGAGAAGAAAAAAGAAAATATCGATTTTTCTATTTAAGAAAGCCATAAAAACAAGAATATTTAGGATTATTCTGTTTTTAGAGTTTATTCATCATTTCCTCTTAATTCTGTAACTAGTAGCCTTATATTTCTATATATATAAGGCTACTACTATAAAGAAATTCTTATTAATAATACGAGATAAAGAATTTTATTATTAAAAATTTAAGAAAGTGTACAAATTTATCGTTTCTCCTCCCCCGTTTAATCTATTCGTCGAGAAAATAATGATAATACTTTATTGACGTTAATAAAAAAAAGGAAAAAATTGATGATTATAACACTTTCTATGGTACCACTTTGTGTTTTCCTCGTGTTTCCATTAGTCAAGAATGGTTTCGTATTACATTACTAAAGACTACATCTTCCACGTTTCCTGTTTATTGATCAAGAATTCGGTCTTTGTTCCGTATTTTAGATATTCTCTATATCTCATTCCACATCATTATGCTACACTTGGAAGAGAAAACTGCGTATCAATATCGCATTTCACACTGCTCTAGAATTTTTTTTTTTTCGTCGTGTAGTTCACGTGTTGATAGTATTTTTATATACAGTAATTGGTGACGGATTACCCAACGAACGTACTAGGGCCTCGTCCTTAAAATAAAGGGCCTTATAAGAAAATACGGATCTCAAAGGGATACAATCAGCTACCGATAACGGTTAGATAAATTCCCTTTGAGAGGAGTGTTAAATTATCTAAGTACCAGTCGACCCCCCCTATAACACTGTTGATAATTCCGTTTTATATGAATTTCATGTTATACGAGTCATTTAGATTTTACAAATACGTGTTCCAGGCTGTGAACGGCTCACGTATTTGTAAAATCTAAGTGACTCGTACAACATGGAATTCATATAAAACGGAATTATCAACAGTGTTATAGGGGGGTCGACTTGTATTTGTATTGGTTAATAACAGCAGAAATCACAACAAAAATCACGTTACAAACGGGAAAACATCAACAAGTAATTAATTAATGAAATCCGTTTGAGTACTTTCAAATTAATTCCCAGTATAATCTAATTAATAGCAAATAAAACCGTTTGCTTCTTAACTAATCTCTTTTACTCATTTACATTTTATGTATGCAGGAATTCTTAATCCAAGTTTAATAAAAGTTTCTCGATTCGTAAAGAGTTGGCAAGCAATACGAGAATTTTCTCGCGTGTTGCACAATTAATTACGTCGAAGGGAGGAGGAGGAGGAGGAGATAGGCACCAACATTAAAAATAAAATGCTTATAACGTTATTTAAAATGAGTTGTCGACGTTCCAAATTTAGAAACCCGTGACGTCAAAGATATAGAATTCATTTCTTCACGTAACAGGAAGGAATTCTATCGGAATATGTAGAAGTTTTATAGAATTAACCAGCGTTATTTTATCGTATTACCTTACCGAAGCCGGTTTAATTTTCCTGGAAACCATCGTTTACGTCATCAACATCGCGCAACACAATAGCAGCCTAGTGTGAAACGGATGTCTGTGTTTCTAAATCGAAAAGGAGATACGACTTCCTTTTTGGGAGAAATTTTAAAATGCGATAAAATCCGCAAATACTTAATTAAACCGGTGAATTCATTTTTAGTCGGTGGTTCGATAGTAGATACAGTTGTAACCTCTCTTCTCCCCTTTCTTAACACTCTCTATCAATGACTTTAAATGTCAATACGACTCGGTGTCTTAATGGTTTGTCGGTTGCAAACCGTCTATTCATGCAACTATAGTAACATTTGTAAAGGGATATCGTGTGTTATCCATCACGCCATTCGGAATTTTTGCTTTTCATGAATTGACCATCTGTATCCTGATTGACTCGAGTTACCAGTTTTTAATTTTCTTTTAAAGGCTCTGTGTAGTGGATGAAACCTAAGAAGTAACAGTTCTTGATCCGGTTTCCCATTCGGATCCGTTAAAAGCTAGTTCCTTATGTTTCTTAAAATACAAAATAAATATATTATTTATTATAAACAAGCCTAATAATTGTAACTAATACACAGTAGCGTGTTATACCTTCACGGGGAACCCCTAATTTGAATTAGGGAGCCCCATGTTCGTGTTGACCTTAGATATTTTCATATAAAATATTAGTTTGGGGTCCCTTGTTGTTGGGGGTTCCAGACAATTACCCTTTTTTCCTATAGGATAACACAGTGATAATATATAAAAAACGATTATATAATCCTTACAAATGGCTCCTTAAAGGCATTTAAAATGTGTATTATTTAATTAAAATTAATTATTATACTCGAAGCTTCTACAAGGAATATATATTATTTAGACAACATAAATTTGAATAAGACTATAATATGTTTATAATATCCAACTAAAGAAGATAAATGTTTCTTGGTTTTTCAATATTTATTATTCTTTTACTTCACAAACAGAATGAATAATTTATAACTTTCTCTTGATATGCAAATTAATATTTAATGAGTTATCCTACTCTTAATCTGTAGAAAGTACTGTACTTCCAGATGCAATGTTATACTTTCTTCTGTTTCTAGAAAATGAAAAGTTCTAGATTTCAGAGTAAAATGTGATGTAAATTCAGAAACTTGTTAATATTTTTCCTTTCAATTTTTTTAAAAATTAACAATAAAAGCCTTGAATCTAAAATCTTAATTATTCATAGAATCGGGCCCATCGACAGCTTGTATGAAATCCAGAATAAAGTGATCCCTTTGTACCCCTTAGAAGGCTCTTTGCTACTTGTTTTTGAACAAACGAAATACGTAAAATGCTTATTTATTAATAAATAAATAAAGTACAAGTCGTCCCCCCTATAACACTGTTGATAATTCCGTTTTATATGAATTCCATGTTGTACGAGTCACTTAGATTTTATAAATACGTATTCCGGGCTGTGAACGGCTTACGTAATTGTAAAATCTAAGTGACTCGTACAACACGGAATTCATATAAAACGGAATAATCAATAGTGTTATAGGGGGGACGACTTGTACAGTATTTTAATTTTTTCCAGAGACTGACTTACTATTAAAATCTTAAAAACCAAATCTAATCTCTTCTCCCTCCTCCTCTCTTCATTTTCCAAAACATTAGTAAGAAATCTATTTGCATCTTCAAAATTACAAATCATCTTATTAATAATTCTCTGCACAGAAACCATTTTTCCCAGGCATAAAAAAAAAATCCCCACACATATAAATAAATTAATTAATTAACAAGAAACGATTTTCAATTTTAAATTAGAGAAAAGAAACCGCTTTCGTTTTGTACGAAACTCCTAGAAAATAAAAAAAAAGGCGGTTATAATTAAATATTGCATTAACCTAGATTTTAAAAAAAGAAAGAAAACGAAAGCAACTATAATTAAACAAACCATTATACACAATCTATTAATGACGAATTTAATAAGAGGAAGATTGCAGAAGACTCCGTTGCAAGAAGAAGAAATTAACTTTAAGAATTAAAACAAAAAAATTCTAATCAAATTGGCTCTTGTTTTTTTTTTTTTTTATTTCGGTGTACTTAAAAAAAAAAAAAATAAGCGTAAATACCAGCTGATTTATGGAGAGATTAACGAAGGATGCGTGCCTTTCCGCGGACGAGTGGTACAAAATGGATTATGTCTTGCCAGCAATCTGATTGCATGCAACGAGTGATGGACAGAAAACATTTTATCCGATCTTGCATTATATAGCGTGTTGCACTAAAATAAACCTTTGTTCGGGTAATGTAAACTCTGCATCTGATTTATATTATTTTGTGTAATTATGTTTTCAGTGCGTTTGTTAGATTTCCACAACAGGAACTCAATCGATTTTTCTACCAAATGGATTGGTCCTCTACAGATGCATCGTTCAATGAATGAGATCTAAAAACTGCCATTAAAGAGTCTTTCGAGTAATTGGTATTTCGATAAAATGTCTAAATATATACTTCAAACAATGACTTTTTATATATATATATAAAGACGTGCCTGATCGTTCGAAGAAAGATTAGCCTTTTACATAGCTATTATTTAAATCCTCTCTCTTTCCATAAGCACTTATAAAGCCATCTATTATACAAAATTTATTAGTAAAGATTTTTCTAATTATAAAAATTGATTTTTTTTTATAATATTGTTCACCAAATTTCCCCATAAATTTTTATCAACTATTTAGTATTTGCTGTGTAAACCATTGAACCATTGGGTAGTCGGTCGCGGGTTTGCACCTTAACCAATGGCCAGGACCGTGTAGTGGAGCGTTATCCTATGGGCAAAAAAAAGAACAATTATCTAGGGGCCCCACCAATCTTTTATAAGAAAATATTTTCCCTGAAGTCAACACTGTATATGGGTCTTCTCCCTAACTCAAATTCCACTGGGTCCCACGAAGATATAACTCACCATTGGGCCCCGTGGAGTTTTCTGGATTCTCTTCACTTATCTAATATTTAAATAAGTGCAAGTTTACCAAAGAAAATCCCCCCATAAAGGAACCACCTTGGCAGATGGTCCAATATGTTGCGTTACGTTATTGAATCGATCCAAACTGCTGATAAAAAAAACAAAAGTTTTTAAATTGCTGTTCAAAAACACTTATGTAAAACCTTTTTTTTTTTTTAAGATACTTTTAAAGTTTTTCTCGTAATATTTTTAATTTTTTTTTTCTAAAATTTCTTTAAAAAAAAAAAAAAATATATACTAAGAAGAATGGAGTCAACTCCTGTAATAGAGATTCATAATCCTATTAAAAGTTGTGACTTTTTTTTTTTTTTTGCAGGGTTTCGTTAGATAATATCTTCACCCTAAATTAATATCTCTAGAGTGAAATTTCACGCTGGAAGAACTTATAAAAAAAAATTTATGCAAGAGTATAAAAGATTTAAATGATTAAATACCAAGTTTTTGAAGTGGAACGTTGAGGATGAAGTTGATAAAAGGATGCAGTCCTTGGGTAGATTTGGGCATTGCTTACAACCAAATCTTAAGCTACAACGAACAAGAATTACTTTTGTACGCGAGATTATTAATAAAGTCTGATGTCAAAACTGACTCTTTAAATAAATTTTTCCAAAAAAAAAAAAAAAAAAAAAATGTCCGAATTAAGGCGGATCATAAATAATTAAAATGACCCGTTAAACGTTCCTTTTTTTTTTTAAGTCCTCTGCCATGAGGAAAGTTCACGGATATTCTTTGCTATCGAATGGCATTCGTGTGACTACTGTGAAGTCTTTCTTTAATTTATGGCAAAGGGTGGAATTTATAAATATTCTTCCACTCCTGATTTGAATTTTAAAGTTTTGATAGATGAAAGACAAGTCTTTCCAGGAATGTTTGTAGAAAAGGAAGAGATTTGTGATATCCTCATTTAATATGTAAAAGAAAAAAAAAAAATGCTTAGATAGATGTAAAAATTAATATTATGATTATAAAAATAGGATCATGTACTTTATTTATTTATTTATTTTTTAATGTAGAAGTGAAAGAACATCTAAATTAGTTCAAATGATTGCAATTTGTTTAGGAAAGGAATAAAAGATTATAAAAAAAAGATAACTGATCCTTTCATTTATTTCAAGAAAGGGAAGAATGATTATTAAGCTCTATATATTATAGGAAAATCATAGGAAGTTTAAAAAGCTATACATCATAGGAAGATCAGAAACTATACATAAGAAAATTAGGAGCTATATAATATAAAAAAAAATCATTGGAAGTTTAAGAGTTATACATAATAGATACATAAGATGTTTGATTTTTCTTTATTTTAATAATTTATATAATAAATACATAGGATCTTTATGTAAAGAAGTTCATTGTTGTTCTATAGCAAGAAAAATTATATATTAATTATATATTTCTTCATATTCATAAATAATTAATAGTAGTATAAGCAGGGCTGGACGTGCGGTCTCTAAACTGTAATATATAACAGGCCATTCTCCTCCACCAAATAATGATACATGTAAAAAATGTAAAGCACTAAGCTGCAGCTTGTTTAGCTAACATACAAATCCTATCCCAAGTATAAGGGGGTGAATGGTTTTACAATGAAATATTATTAATGCAGTATTATAAATAATACATCATAGGAAAATCATTAGAAGATTAAGAGCTGTAAGTAATAGAAAAATATTTAATTTTTTCTTATTCTAATAATTTATAAAATAAAATACATAGGATCTTTCTGATAAACTAGATTATCATATTAAAAATATCCTATTCTATAACAAGCAAAATGCTGTATGTAATAGGAAGATTAGGAGCTAGGAAAGAAGGAAACAAAGATAATTAAAATTACTAAAAATGTATATAGTATAAATAATTACTTAAACCCATGTTCCATATATGTTTCTATTAACAAAGTAAAAAAAAAAAATCTGTAATTTTATTCATTACACAAGATTAAACAATCCTAACTTTATGTTTGATTCTGTATCAAAATAACATGAAAGTATTTTATTCCACCAGTAAAGTAACTTCAAAAACAACAATTTTATAAATTTTCCTCCATTAAGGCATTATTTTAGAAACAAAAAAACATCCTAGACTGAATGTAATTTCACCAAAAACTCCAGGCAAAATACAAAACACCAGTCCTTTTTTTATAGTTTTTCAAGTAAAAAACTCACTATAATCATAATTTTAGAATTTTATATTTTTCACATATAATATAAAATATATATAGCAATAGTAAATTGTTTAGTTTCAAGTTTAAAACACTTCAATTTTATCAAGAACAAACACCTTTAAGATTTCCAAACCCCCTGTTTTTGAGAAAGAGAGAGAGAGAGAGAGAATAAGCATCAGTAAGAAAAGTCAGAAGAAATTGGAAGCTTAAAGTTAATCCAAGGGGGGCATTACATTAAATTATCTTAGCGATAAGTCCAATTTCGCATTAACTTGTGAAATGTGTGGTTAAAGGATTACAAGAGGAACTGAATGCACTTTAAGATATATGTCAATCCAAACTGGACATCTGCTAGGACAGATACAAAAGATTCCATAAGCGAATTTCATTACACATTTCACAAAAAAAAAAAAAAAACATTCGCCATCTTTATTATCGATTTACTCTTTTTTTTCTTCTTTGTTTTATTATTTTTCTGTCGTCATCATTGACTCGATGGGAGGACAATCGAGTCAAACATGTTTATTCGATGCACACGAGATGAAGTTCTCGTATTACTGGAGTGTAAAACTTCAAATAAAATAAAAACCCGGTAGAAATTTTTCATTTTTCCCCCCCCCCGCACTTAACAGGTTTATCTGTTCTCTTCGACTGTAAACAAGCCATTATTCGATTATGGAAGATGGAAACAGTAGTTATATTGTTGATGTTCCTCCAATTATGAGAGAAAAACTAATTCAAAAAAAAAAATTCCCACTCGGCTAAAGCAATTGCTGTAATTAATTCGTTATACAATAACAAAAGCAAACGGCTCTTTATCCAAGTAGATTTTGTTTACATTCTAAATAAACAATGGCATGACCGATAGTGAAAGTTACGATAAACTTTCTCGCCATTTTAAGGGAAAGGCGATCACCATCTTCGATTAAACAACTTTCTTTTCTCTCCTCTTCCGTTCATTTATAAGCTTAAAGACGTTTATAAATCACTACATCGGAAAGTTTTCTAATTATAGAAAATTCCTATGGCGTTTATTTGTAGAGTGGAAGAATTTAGAAACATGCCGACACATATAGCGTTTTATTGCCAAAATTTCGAGTTATGAGAGTTAAAATTGTGTTTGGCACGGTGGAAAATAATCCAGGAAACATGCCCGATACGTGAAAATAATGCGAAAACGTGAATAAAATGGAGACGTTGGCAGAGAATTTTTTCTAGAAAATATGTTTTAAAAAATAAAATGAAATAAAAAACTTTCAACCTATTAAAGTGAGGAAGAAATCGGAGAAGCTACATTGTGGTCAGGCATTCGTCATTGCTTGAAACCAATTTCCGTTCTGTCAAATGGGAAGAGTCTTAATAGGGGAGGGGGAGAACGATGCGATGTCAAATAACCGTACAATGATGGATAATCGTATCCGCTGATTATATGACACAGCTATTTGTAATATGTGATCCGAGCAGATTTTCAATATTTCACGATCGATAACTCGACTTTTGTCGTCATCCGACCGTGAAAATTACAATGGGTGTCATACCACTCCGTTTTAGGAACCGCTCCTTTAAAAGTATGGTTACTTAATCCTCCTTTGAATCAATCCAATGAGTTCTGCCAGCATGTAACTACCTGTTTCTGCTACAGGTTGCTGCTGGCATGTTGCCACGAATGCAGCCAATATATCACTCCACTCTGGACAACTTAAAAAAAAGAGTGAGAGAGAGTGAGAGGAAGAAAGAACATAGGAAAAGCATCAAGTTTGCTTCAAGTTCAAGTGCACTGGAAGATTTCATTGAGCAGAGCAAACGCCTCGAAACTCAAAAGGTTTTGGCACCGTTAGACAAGCCACGAAGAACCTATTGTGAATTGTGTTGTGTGGCCAAACGCGATCGATTGATTTCCGACAGGTTTACCTTCAATCAATGCCAGTCAATGGACATGCAGATGCAGAAACCGCTCTCCTATTTGTCTGTTCGGCACATTTGACGTTAGGAAAAGCCTCCACTGCAGGAGAACGCATTAAACACACAAAACACTTATCCGAAGAGGAAAACGTGACAACAGAAGGCCACAAACTTCCGAAAGATAATTTAATTTTCGCCATCAAAAGGCGCGCGACTGCAAAAAAGATTTTTAAAAAAATATTTTCGTATTTCTATAAATTTTATTTAAAAAAAAAAAAAGAAGAAGAAGAAATTCGATAAGGAAAATGGACAATTGTCTACGGGACGTAATCGCATTTCACACCCCCCCCTCTTCCTCGCCTGGAATTTTATTTAATTCCGCATCATCCTCTCCCGCGAAAGTCTCTTATAAAGTATTCCGTATCCTCTCCCGCGAAAGTCCGTCCTGTCTTACCTTTCTGTAGACCATCTGATTAGGATTTTCGTCTAAATTCGCCGACTGTCCGTTTCCTGGATCGCTTTTCTGTCTATACGCCATGTTACTACAGCGGTTCGGTTGATTTCTTGTCGCGAGCACAACCCTGTTTTTGGCACCAGGATGAGCGGATGTTAGTCTTATCAGACCGAAATCCCATAGCGGATGTTCACCGCATCTTCCGACAGACGGCTAGAAGACGAACGTGGAACCGCAGGAGGGCATCGTCTGCAGTGGAGGAAGCGGGATGTGAAAGATTGAAGATTCGCCATTGTACGCTGGCTCCTGCAGCAGGCCGCCCAATGGAAGCTACCGAAGAGGAGAGCGCCACCACATCGTCCCCGTCACGTGACCGGAATTAAACTGACCGGAACGGAAAGTGGCCTCCCCCCTTCTCACTCTCTTCCTCTTTCTAAACCGTATTTTAATTATGTTCGTGCCGCAGCTTCCACTTTACTATTTTAAACGTCCCCGGCCGCACGCTGAATGTAATTAATTAATTGTTTCCTCTACCAGCATTTAATGTATTCGTAATCGATTTACGATTTGGATTATTTCGTTCCGTAATCGAATGGCGAATTAAATTTATTTATATTTATTTATTATTATTATTTTTTTTAATTTATGGGGTGGTGTCACGACGTCGTAAATGGTGATCGATTCTTGTTTTCGTTACTCTTCGATAGATGGCAGCACGAAATGTTAGTGAAGTTTTTTTTTTTTTTTTTTTTTTT